GTGTGGGACAAAGCTGGGCAGGCTGTGGCAGAGGCAGGACAGGGTTTGGAGGAGGTGGTGAGCAGGGCATGGGCGGGCACTGTCCTGCCTGCAGAGCTCTGAGGTGATTCCTGGAATCAGCGGTGCTGTGGCTGTCTGCTGTGACTGTGGGTGTGTGTTTGCCTCAACACGGCTCTGAGGTGTTGAGCTGTTGTGGGTTCTGTGTCAGATTGGTGCAATGGTTACGCCATCTCTGTTCTGGTATTCAAGACAGACTTCCAAGGATCTTCACAGCGTGTGGAGAGGATTTTCTAATGAGCCCCCTGAGGCTTTGCTGATCAGAAGAGCATTGTTGTCCAGAATTGCTTTCTGGCGTTGATGGGCTCTGTCTTTCTTGCGTGAAGCCTTTTGAAAAATACGTATTTTTGTACAGTACATCTTGTTGCCCTTTGGGGAATATTTCGTCTGTGGCTATTGAATTATGGACTGGAAATCTGCAAATGTTCTTGGAGACAGAAGGATTGGCCCAACTAGAGACTCTTGGGCTCCTCTGAACAACAGAACCTGACATACAAATGATGTTTTAATTGGGTGAGATGATGTTACAGGGCTTATGCCTGAAAGGTTATTTGCTGTCAGAGCCCAGCCTGGCTTGCCCTGACAATGACATTTTAGATGTCAGGGGTTTTGTGGTTTGTACTGACTCTTTTGCTTAGGGCAGGAACAATCTGATAACCACAGATTCGTCGGGCTGCATTTCTGCTTCTCATCAGGTGCTGCAGAGTAATCTCTGCTTTTTCCAGAAGTCTCTCTGTTCAGGGATGCACTGCTGCAGTAATTTTGGAGACTCTGGGAAAGTCTGGACAAGCAGAAATTATTTCCATAGTGAGGACAAGTAAGATTTTTCTGTGGAACTAGTTTTATTTTTTTGTTAATTATTCTGAAGTGTGCTTGCCTTGGCAGAATGCCTGGGAAATTGCTTTCCCAAAGCAGGGTTTAGAGTGGAATGATTGATGCCAGTATGAATCCTTTTGGTCAAGGAGATTGTGAAGTGCATCTTCCCCAAAATATGTTTTGTGATGACGTTCACTGGAGCCCTGCTTGACTGCAGGAAGGGTTCAGAGCAGAACTCGAGATGTATCTTAGTTTCATTATGACTTCTTGAAATGCTTTAATATTCACTGTTTCAGTCGTAGTGTCTGGAAAATGTCTGTGTTCTCCAAGGCTTAGCCAAGAGCTTGCGAACATCTGGGATCGTTTTGGCCAGGTCTGTTTGGCTTTGCAAAGGGCTCTGAATTTCTTGTGTATGTTGGGGTGCTTTCCTGGGGACCTCACAGACAGGCTCTGCTCCAAGTTTTGAGTTTTGGGGAGTCTGTGGTTTGCAGGGGAATCCTGACCATGGAGGAGGAAGTGGCAGGATGAAAGCACAGCACAAGTGTTTGTTCTGGTGCTGGGTCAAGGCAGAAGCCACCTCTGGGGCTGGGGCATGGGCGCAGCCTGGTAACCCCCCTGCTATCCAAGCTGGTGCCATCAGGCTGCATTTCCTGACTTGCCCTGGTCTGGGAACTGGAACTTGAAATAGCAAAAACCAGAACTTGCATGTTCAAGCCTTGACAGATATGTGGGTTGGAGACAGGGAATGGTTTTGGTGATTTGAAAGGGCAGATGAGCAGATAGGGAAGCATTTCTTTGATGGGCTGTTAAGACAGACTTTACTGCGAAACACATGCCTATCTCATTAGGACAGGCTTTGTCAGGCCTTTCCTGGCAGGGCTTGTGTGACATGGCTTCAAAATAAGCAATGCTTTGTGCACTCATCTTTTTGATGGGAACCTAAGCTCAAATCCCTGTCCTGCCTGACTTGTTACAAGTGTTTTTCAGTGGAACTCTTGATTTCATCATATTGCCATCTGGGATATTTCTGAAAGTGTCCAAATCAGCTTTTCACCTTCAAGTTGTTTATATGGGTTCTGCTAGAGATGTTGGCTCTTGAAAGCTGTTAACCCCACGAGGGCTGATGGTCAGAGACCCACATCTCTGAAAATACCATGTCCATGGGGTAGAACTTTTGTTGTGGAACTTAGGGACATGGGGATCTCTGGAAAAGGGTTGTTGCTGAGCATGAACTTGAGGAGCCTGCCGAGCTGCCAGCAGCTGGCTGTGTCAGGAAGCAGTAGCTGTTGCTGGCTGTGAGCTCTGTGGCTCACCCTGTACCCCCAAGACGGTGCCAAAGGCACGAGGATGTTATGGAAGGTGCGAATGCTTTGCTCAAGCATTTTGTTTTCTGGGGGCCGAGGCAGAAATCCAAATGGTCAGAGCACTCTGTGAGTCTTGGCAGGATCACACTGACACGGTGACTGCTCCTTTCCCTGCTGAAAGGCTGGGGAATCTCTGTTGTCCAGGCAGCTATTGCTCTGTGAATGTGGCCAAAAATAGCAAGGAAACAGCATTCCCATCTCATTCCCTGAGAGGGTGTTGTACTAGTTTGTGTGGAAAAGCGATTCTGGTGTTCTCTGGAGGTTTTCTTGGGGGGATGTGTGCAGTCAGCCTGGGACCCCTCTGTTTTGCTGCCCTGTGGCTGCAGGGGAGCTGCAGCAGACACAGCAATGTGCTCCATCCCTCTCGCTGCGCATGTTCCTGGCCCTGCTGAATCATCCAGCTTGTGCCTGGGCACAATTGCTCTCTGTCAGCTGTGTCCTGGGAGCAGAGCAGGGGGCTGGTGCCCAGGGTATTTTGCTAAAGTCTACAAAACCAAGTAGCACTTCTCTGGGACTCCAAGTGTAAACATAACAAAACTTACAGGCTGATGGATTTATTTTTTTCCTGGTTAATCCATGGGGTCTAAAATCTGTTGCTGCAAAGAGGAGGAGGCTTGTTGTTGGTTTTGTGGGCATTTTTGTGCATCTGGGAGCACTGGGAATGTAGCACTAAAACCAAGGGGCCTGCTGGATGTTTGGCTCCAGACAGAAGGCTGCATGCATGTGTGTGATCCTGAGTGACTCATCGGCCCACTGCTGCTTTTCTGCCCCCGTTGCTTTTCTGAGGAGCTGATTGCCCCTTCCAAAGCATGGATGGCACTTGCTGGTGTCCCAGTGACCCTGAGACTTTGGGGAAATCTAAGCTGGGTGCTGGTGTGTGCAGCACTGCCAAACTTGGCCTCACTGCCCGCCAGCAGTGCTCCCGTTCACAGCCACAGCTTGTTCCACTCGCCGCTTTCCTGGAGTTCCATTTCAGTGCTGCTCTGGGTCTGCGGCACCCTGTGCCCACTGTTTGCCTTGGGAAGTGGTGTTGCTGTTACTGTGAGCTCCTCCCTCGGCAGCCCTGTTCTATAATTACTGATGTTCCTGAAACCAGATCCTTCCACGTGTCCTGCTCAGGTTCGGGAGGACAAGGGGTCCCTAAGCAAACTGACTGCCTTGGAGTGCAGCCAGGAGGACTTCAGCAGTTTGGGAACACGTCATCTTCAGTGGTTCATTGAGTTCTGAGCCTCCAACCTCCTCACCTTTGGATGCTAAAGGGAAGGGGAATATATCCCACACAGCCAGGTTTGCAGTGTGATCCCAAAGCATTGCCACAGTTTCACAGCCACCTCTGCTGGGCCCTGGGCTGTGAGGAGATGATCCTCTCTCCTTGCCAGACTTAATGATCTTCTCAAATAGCAGCACTTCTGTGCCATTTCAAGCTCTGAGAAGTCCCAGTGGTGTCACCTTTCCAGTACCTGCTTGTTTCCTGGCTGCTGTCCTTGTTCCAGTGGGTCAGACCCACGTGCCCCTCCTGGCCACAGATACTTTGGGCTGTCCTGACTTGACCACTAAACACAAATACCAGTCAGCAGTTGGCAGAATGAGATGTGCCAGTTTACTTCCTGAAAGTCATCCTGGAATGCCCTGTACAGGAATGTACAACAGGAGAAGATGGTCACAAGCAGTGCAGGGAGCTGACCTGGGGCTGGGCAGGCCAGACCTGCGAGTGTGACTGCAAACAGGTGTCAAAATCTGTAATGCAGGAATAGACAATGACACTTGGTGCTCATCTATTGCTCTGCACTTCCAAAACGTGCTGTCTCCATGAGCTAATGCAGCCAGGGAATGATCAGGAAGGAAGCACTGTAAAAGTCCTGGGTTTGTTTCTTTGTGGTGGGTTTTGGTTGGGTTTTTTTTTTTTATGATCAATGAAATGGAATTAGGGGACCTGACCAGATTTGCTGAAGGTCATGGAGCAGCACCTCAATTTAGAGCTAAGAACTGTGCAGCTCCTCCCTGCCTGCCCTGCTGCTGCCCATCAGCCTCAGAGCCTGTAGGGCAGGGAGTCCCTCTGCTGGGAAGCTGCTGAGGGATGATTCCTCTGTCTTCCCATCTCTGCCATCTCAAGATTTTGGAGCATGCTTGCTGCTGGAGCCAGGGATGGCTGCAGCTCCTGGAGAAGAGCAGCCTGGCAGACCCTGCTTTGGGCATGCTGAGAGTTCAGTGCCCAAAGTCTGCTCTTTTATCTGTGTCTGCAGTACCTCTCAGAGTCTGAACAAAGCCAGCAGCAAGTTCCTTTTGGAGCAAAATGTCATGACCTGGTTTTGGGGACAGCATCAATCGCGGTACAAAAAGAGAAGAATCCAGCAAGTTTCGTAACCTTTTTAATGAGCTGGGGTTATTTCCCCCCTCAGTGCCCAGGAAGTGGGTGAGTTCAAACATGCAATAGATGTGTGATTCATTTGGGCAAGCCAGGCTGCTGCAGGCAGCTGAGGGAATCTCCTGCACCCTGTGTCACAAGTCCTGGAGTAATTAGCAGCAGCTAATGCTCATGGCAGCTCTGGCAGCACCCCTGTGCTCAGTGAGCCCAGCTCAGTCCTGGGGAAGCACAGGGGGTCCACACTGGGCAGCCTTGGAGAGAGAATCACAGGACTGGGCTCGGGGGCATGGTGCAGCATCTAAGCAGATGCTTCAAGGAGAAAAATCTGTCCCAGAATGTCCACCCTGGTCAGTGCTGTGTGGGAGGGCTCTTCCTTGCTCGCTGTAGTAGTTTATTTTTGTGTGTTGCCTGCCTTGAGGCCAAGACTTTGAGTAAGGAAGGAAACACTCAGCTACTAAGTGCTGCTGAGATCTCATTGGCTAATGTGGGGGTATGCTGATCTTCCAGGAGCAAACATAAACATGTTTTCAGCGTTCCTCTCGCCTGTTTTGTACTCTCAGTTACCTTTCCTGTATTGCAGCATCTGCTTAGCTCTTATTTGGCTTTTATTAGTAGTAGCTGACGTGTAGGAGGAGGAACAGAAACTTGTACTTGATCAGCAGATCTTGGAAGCAGTGACACCACCTGAGGAAGTCTCCAAAAGGTGGTCAGCCAGCAGCAATCACATCTCCTTTGTGGATTCAGGTCAGTTTTTGACTGTGGATTCAAAATGTGCTGCACATCACAGTGCTGATTTCTCAGCTCACCCCTTCTGTGTCTTTTGGCTGTGAATTTGCTGAACTTTCTTGTCCAGAGGAATGAACACAAGCGAGGAGCACTCCCATGAGTTATTGGTTTCCTTCTGCCATTCTTTATGACCTCTTTTACAGCACAGTTGTATTGACCAACTGCTTTGAGCAGATCAGCTCTGTGACTTGACTCTTGGGAGGTTTGGACCTTTCTTTGGTGCTTTGCATGGAAACTCTGAGCTTGGCTCCAGGGTCTGTGTGCTAATCAGCAGGATTGGCTGCCAGGGGAGCTGCCAGGCCACAGGGGCACAAGCTGTTGGTTGATGATCTGGAGGCTTGGATCTTGCTCAGCTCTGGAGAAGCTCTGCCTTCTTGCAGGGAAACCACACTGAAGATTTGTCTCCTTTTAACTTCTACTCCTGGTGTTTTCCTCTCCTGGTTGTGCCACGTCTCTCTCCCTGTTCCCACTGATGGTTTAGCTTGGCATAGATGCCAGCTTCTAGGAAAGACAAACCTGTTGCCCAGGCTGTTTGCAGCCAGCAGGCATCAGCCCAAGCCCAGAGCCAGCAAACAAACCCTCCCTGCAGAGGAAGCTGCTGGCTCAGCCAGGGTTACCAAAGCTCCTTGGAACAGGCATTGAGGCAAGGGCACAGCAAGTCATGAGATGCTTGTGCAGATGTCTGGGGCAAAGCAGAGAGCTCTGTCTGCAGTGGGTTTAAAGCAAGGGGCTTGTGCTGGATGCCAGGGAAAGGGGAATCTAATGAGCTGCTCATTAAGCTGCTGCAGGATGGATTTTGCACTGTAGACAAGCTTCTCCTGCCACAAGCTTCCCCCACTAACTGCTCTTCCAGGCAAAAGTGTTTCCCTGATGTTGGTGTGATCATTTATATATAACCCTGAAAACAGTGAAGTTCATTTCCCTCCATCTCCAGTGAATAAGTTTTCCTGCCTGTCTGCCATGTCCCACCGTGTGGGATGTGTGAGCAGAGGCCAAGGATAACACAGCCCTTCAATGGTCCCTCAGTGCTGCTCTGGAGGCACGGGGAGGGAGCAGCCCCTGCCTGCTCCTGCTGCCAGGAGCACAGGGCAGTGTGCTCCCTGGTGCCACTCGTGTGCCTCACCTGGAAACAAAGCCACCTGTCCTGCAGTCTGAATTCCCAGTGTGGAGGGAAAAATAAATCCCCCTCAGCCACACGAGACCCAGGCTCTGGTACAGCACCAGCTCCAGGGGTGACTTGTTTCTGGCTTTGTGTTCACCCTCCCACCTGCAGGTTTTGCTCTCTCCCTGAGCTGCTTCCTTGCTCTTTCAGAGAGCTCTGACCTTGATGTCTTTCCAGCAATCCAAGGAGCTGGCTGCAGCTCAAGTTGGAAGTGCCAGGTGTGAGGGTCTGCTGTGGGAGGGCAAACAAATCCAGGGAGTTCTGAGTCACTGCTGCCCTTGGCCAGCAAGCCCTGAGTTGTGCTGTGGGCTTGGGCACGGGGCACAGACCATCCCAGAGCTTGGGGCTGCCCTTATACAAGGCCCCTGCAATATCCTGCATTAGTTTAGTTTGTGTCTGCCAATCGAGGCTCTCTTGGTTGAACCTGGATTTCAGTGGCTTTCCTGATGAGTATTTCTCCACTTAAAAATAACTCTCTTCAGGAAGTGGCTGGAACTTTACATAAGATGTGCTTGAGATGTTAATTATTCAAGGAAGAGTCAGTTTAGGAAGTCAGATCCAGCACGGTTGGGAGGGAGGTGGGAACTGCTCTGCCATAGCCACGGTGCCGGCGCTGCACCGTTTGGGTGGCTGGAGGTTTTGTGGGCTCTTTGGGATGGAGTAAGGCAAACCAGGAGAGGAAGTGTGTGGGGGAGGATGGGGCCGTTCCTCCCACAGGAAACCCGGGATTAAGACACTGGTTGGATTGTGAGGCTGTTGGGATTGCACTGCTGGAGCCCGTGGCTGAGCACGGCCCGGCAGCTGCGCAGAGCAGCAGCACGTTCAGCCCTGCTCTTGGCAGAGGAGCCAAGTGAAAACAAACACAAAGGCTGCAACTGGCAGCACTGACGGGAAGGAGTGTGAGTGCAGGGCTGACAGGAAGCAATCAGTCTTGCAGATGGCTTGCACGGGCCAGGGACTTCTAGCCACTGCCTGCTGCTGCACTGAGCCCTCTCCCCCAGTATCTTCCACCCATGGGCACAGTGTGCCCTGATCAGCTGCAGATCCCAGCCCAGGCTCTGCCATGGCTGGGACAGAGGGTGAAGCCAGCCCTGTTTTGATCCTTCTGGAGGTGTTGGCTCTATCAGACCCTGGCCCTGGCTGCTGCCATCACATCCCAGGTCACTGGCGGCTCTGGGGAACATTGTCTGGGGCAGCATTTCTGCTATGGCACTTGTAAGCTGGGGGCCCCCAATCCCTGGGTGGCATCTGGGCTGGTTTGTGGTCTGCTGGGCTTTAAAAACAATTCTGTGAGCTTTTGCTTCCTTGAATCCTACAGAATATTTATTCCACAGTGCAGAGGGATCTTTAAATAGGCTCTGCTCTGCATGTCTCACTGGCCAAGGAGCCGGCACAGAGCAGGAGTGGTGGGTTGGTGACACTGCCCTGCTGCTGAGCTGCTCCCTGCAGCACTCAGTGGCCTCTCTCCATGTCCTGCAGGCTAGCAGGAACAGCCTGGTGGGGTCCATCTTGGATAGACGCGGATGATGCCAGAGCTATGACAGGGATTGCAGTCTTGGCACTGAGGGGTGATCAATTATGGAACAACTACAGGAGGAAGTACCTGAGGTCAAGGAAGAGGAAGAGGAAGAGGCAGTGATGGTGGCAAGTGGAGCCTCAGACCCAACTGGAGGACCAGACAGCTCGCTGCCTTCGAGCAGCTACACAGGTGAGTGGAGCCACAGGAGCTCATCCTGTGGAGCATCCAGGTGCCACAGCCCCCAGGCAGCATGCCCAGCTGCAAGGGCAGATCTGTCCCTGAATGGAGTTCAGCTGAACTGAACATTTCACATTTATTTGTGAAATAATGCTCCAAGTTATGGAGAGGCTTACTTCTTCCCCTGAGGTCACTGCATGTCCATTGGCAATGGGTTTTGGAATGGAAATTAAGAGGACAGGCAGGAAACATTGTGCTTCAGAGCTAGGGGCCTCCCAGGGTGCTTGGGAATGCTTCCTTGAACACTTTTTGGGGTCCTCAGAGCAAAGTGATTGTAAGGCTCCTCCAGAGCCCTTGATGTTCCAGCTGGGATATCCTGTGCCAGCAGCTGGCCAACAGGGGATTATAAAATCTGCTGGTTGGGGTTTCATTGCCAGGACATGAATGCCAGAGGGAAGAAAGGAGCATTGATGTGGAGTCTGAGCTGCTGGGGCATTCTTGGCTCTGTTCATGGCATTTGCCTGCAGCCAGTGCCAGATTCCAGATGTGATACCAGGGGCAGGCAGGACAGGGCTGGAAATCAGCCCTACAGCTGGATGAGCTGGCCACACCAGGAGCTATGACACGGAAGGACGTGTCCCTGTGTGTGTTTGCAGACCTGTCACAGAGCTCCTCTCCCTCGCTGTCGGACCAGCTGCAGATGGGCTGCGAGGAGGCGGCGCTGGGAGCGCTGAACGTGGAGTGCAGGGTCTGTGGGGACAAAGCCTCGGGCTTCCACTACGGCGTGCACGCCTGTGAGGGCTGCAAGGTGAGTCCCAGGGACAGCTGGGTCCAGCTGCAGCACGCAGGGGTTAGGTCCCAGCAACTGGGCTGCCTCCTCACACAAGATTTGCAGCAAAACAGGGATTCGGGATTGATTGTAAAAAACTCAGCCTGTCTAGAATGGGGCAAGTATAGGCAGGCAGCAAATGCTGCCCTGGGAAGAGGGCTGAGACCTGTATGGCCCAAACCTTCCCTTCTCATGCTTTGTTGTGTAAGGCAAATCCATCTGTCCCCATAGGGACCCTGAGTTTATTTTTAAAAATAGTTTGTGTGCTGCAGATCAGCAGTGAGCTGTGTATTTATCTCCCTGGGATCATTGGCTGCAGCTTGGATGTTCCTCTGGAATTCTTTCCCCTGCAGCAGATCCAGCAGGGTTGCGTTAGCAGCCCAGATCCTGCCAGACATTCCTGCAGGCTGGGGTTGGCCATGGCTGGTTCCTCCATCCCTCTCTGTGGGCTGCTGGCACAGTCACAGCACCAGGCATGGGGTGCCCCCAGAGCTCTTCCTCTGCAGCTGGGATAGACCCCCAGGGCTCCCCTTCCTGAACCTCCCTGCAGCTCCTGGGGATAACAAACCAGCCTGGCCCCAGACTCCATGTCCCCCTGCTCCCTCTCTGCCTGCAGGGTTTCTTCCGCCGGACGATCCGCATGAAGCTGGAGTACGAGAAGTGTGAGAGGAGCTGCAAGATTCAGAAGAAGAACAGAAACAAGTGCCAGTACTGCCGCTTCCAGAAATGCCTCTCGCTGGGCATGTCACACAACGGTGAGTGTCACTGCTGCCAGCTGGGTGACACTGGGCCAGCTGCCCTCCTGTGAAGGATGGCCATGGCCTGCTGTGCTTTAGCCCGTGGCTCTTCCTGCTAGGGGATCACTCAAACCCAGTGCTTCAAGCATTTGACTCCTCTTCCCCTTTTTCTGTATGGGAAGGGGCTGTTCATTCCCCCCATGCAGTGTAGCTGCTGGTACGTGGCTGTCCCTTATGGACAGGCACCAAGGGAACTGGACACACAAATTGATTTTCTGTGCTGAGACTTTTACACTTCAGGTGTAAGAATCTCAGACCCAGACAGGCAAAGGTGTTTATGTGGGAAGCAGGGTTTGAGCAAGAGCCAGAGGAATGGGATGGGAGACTGGTGTGAGGAAGCAGCAGTGGCCGTTTCATGCAGGTGTTAGTGCTGGAGGACTGCAGCCTGGAGAAGCATTGTGTTGTGTAGCTGCAGGTGTTCTCCAGCAGACCTGTCTGTCTGCAGTGGCAGAACAAGCTGCTGCCCCTCTGGATGCATCCTGGGGTGCCCCTGCTGTCCTGACCCCCAGTTTTGCCCCCAGCAATCCGCTTTGGGCGCATGCCAGAGGCAGAGAAGAGGAAGCTGGTGGCAGGGCTGACAGCGAGCGAGATCGGCTGCCAGAACCCACAGGTGGCTGACCTGAAAGCTTTCTCCAAGCACATCTACAACGCCTACCTGAAGAATTTCAACATGACCAAAAAGAAGGCAAGAGGTATCCTGACCGGCAAGGCCAGCAGCACCCCAGTAAGTTCCCTCCCAGGGCAGGTGGGGTTGGCCATGGCCAGCACGGGGGACTGTTCTCTGGGAGATGCTGCACATCTCCCTGCTGCTGTAACTGTTCCACATGCAGCCAGGTGGGCTCTGCATGTCCTGCCCCTTGCTGGGAAGAACCCCATTGCTCTGCACACTCGTGCTATGGTGGGTGGGTGCAGATTACCTGGGCACTGTCAACCCCAGAGGCAGGGCACAGCACAGGGACAGACAGACAAACATGACAGTCCTGAGCAGAGCTGGCACCTCGAGTCCCCGCAGCAGACTCCTAACTTGCTTCTTGTCCAAGCAGCCTTTTGTGATCCATGACATGGACACGTTGTGGCAGGCAGAGAAGGGGCTGGTGTGGAAGCAGCTGGTGAACGGCATCCCCCCCTACAAGGAGATCGGGGTGCACGTGTTCTACCGCTGCCAGTGCACCACGGTGGAGACCGTGCGGGAGCTCACCGAGTTCGCCAAGAGCATCCCCAGCTTCGTCGGCCTCTACCTCAACGACCAAGTGACTCTGCTCAAGTACGGGGTGCACGAGGCCATCTTTGCCATGCTGGCCTCCATCATGAACAAGGACGGGCTGCTGGTGGCCAACGGCAACGGCTTTGTGACCCGCGAGTTCCTGCGCAGCCTGCGCAAGCCCTTCAGTGAGATCATGGAGCCCAAATTCGAGTTTGCTGTGAAGTTCAACGCGCTGGAGTTGGATGACAGTGACCTGTCCCTGTTTGTGGCTGCCATCATCCTGTGTGGAGGTGAGCGGGTGCCCTCGGCCGTGCCAGGGTGAGGAAGAGTTCTCCCTGCTTAGAGGTGGTTCAGAGGGGGCTAGGGGAGCTGAGCTGCAGCTGGGCTTGAGGTCAGCCAGGGATGTCTCAGGGCCATGAGAGAAGAACTGAACACTTCCAAAACCAAAGCTTCTCTGTGGAGGTGATGCCTGGCAAGCTTGGACCAACAGCAAGGAATGCAGAAATGGCATCTCCTTCTCATGTACTGCTGTGGGATACCTTGTCCAAGGGCACACTTCTCCCCTTTCTAGCTGACGAGGTTGAGTCATGGTGGGTGGGTTACAGGCCCTGGCTCCCTTTCCCCAGCAGCAGAGTGTACTTTGGAGGGCTGCACCATGACCCTGCAGCTCCCGTGCTTCCTCTCCACAGACCGCCCTGGCCTGATGAACGTGAAGCAGGTGGAGGAGATCCAAGACAACATCCTGCGAGCGCTGGAGTTCCACCTGCAGTCCAACCACCCCGATGCCCAGTACCTCTTCCCCAAGCTGCTGCAGAAGATGGCTGACCTGCGACAGCTGGTGACAGAGCACGCCCAGCTGGTGCAGAAGATCAAGAAGACAGAGACAGAGACATCTCTGCACCCACTTCTGCAGGAGATCTACAAGGACATGTACTAAGGACCTGTTATTTATGAGAATGAAGCCATGGATTCCCATCAGGACTCTTTGTACAGGAACAAAGAAAACCCTTCCCAGTGTCTTCCATTTCTCTTGCTGGAAACTTTTCTACGTGACCCTGACGTACGGTACATAGGGCAAGACGCCGTCAGGATTTGCAGGTGCCTCCTGCTCGGCCAGGGCTTCCATTAACACACACTAACAAATCTGCAAAGCTGCTGTTCCCCTTCCTGTGGCCCAGCTCTGGCTGCCCAGTTTACATGGCTCAGGCAGGGAGGTCACTGCGGGTGGGGAGCCCTGGTCCTTAGGAGGACCAGGGGGGTGCAGGGGCCAGCAGGGCTGACAGCAGCACTTAGAGGTGTCTGTATTCTCGATTGTTTGCACTCCAAGGACGTGGTCCTGAGCCATGAAGTCTGGGACAGTGTGATGAAAGGATGTTTCTCTCTTTCCCAAAGAAAAGCTCTGGAGTATTTGAACACAGATAGGGCTGTCCCAGAGGAGACCCTCAGCTGCAGCCCCCCTGTGCTCTGCAGTGTGTTCTGTCTCCCAGTGGGGCTGTGGGAACTCTGCCTTCCTGGGTGCTGGGTGGGAGCCTTTGCTCCTGGCACCCTCGTTCCATAGGGAACATCTCCCTTGGCAGCTCAGTAGGAGAGAGGCTGGGATGGGGAAGCAGGAGTGAAAGGATTTGACTCCTTAAAATTCACCTTCAGAGCAGAGGCACAGAATCCATGGCTTCCACAGGCTGCTCTGCACAGACCTGAGTTACAACAAAGGTGTGTGGAGGGTCAGAGGCCTTGAGCTGGTCAGGGTTTGGTGTCCTGCCTCAGTTTCCCCTCTGTGAAAGAGACCTGGACTGTCACATGCTGCCCGCTCAGAGCAGGAGCACGAGGATCTGTTAGTGCATTGGTTGCAGAGAGCTTTGCAGCTGTAAACGCCAAGGATTTATAACCAGGGAGGGGGGTGGTTGGGATGCTCACAATGAGCTGGAGCTTCCAGAGAGCGTGGCTGTGGCAGGGAGGCTGCCAGTCCCCCTCTGCCCCTGTTCCCAAGAGTGGCAACAGCTCCAGGCTTGGAGGTCTGCCTGATCCCAGCACCACTCTGGGACTTACCTCACAACTCCTCACAGCTGTAGTGAAACACCTCGGTGCTGCCTGGGCCAGGCCAGGCCCTGCTGTGGGGGCTGTGTCCCTTGGGCTTGGGGCAGGGGGAGGATGGACCTGGCAAGGGCTCAGTTTCCCTTCCAGGATAATGAAAGTGACGCTTCCCTGTCTGCAGCTCCTGGCCCCCTGTGTCCTGAGCAGCCTTATTCAAATGCTGATATTCCCTAGGAGGGGTTGTGGGAGCAAATTATTCGGTTTTATTTTACTTTCCTCCTCTTCAGGGTAGCAGATTTCCCTGGTGCAATAATTCCTTTTAAAACCCAAAGGGGAAGAGCGCTGGGCTTTCCCTCCCCATCACAGGGCTGGCCGGTCCCAAACCTCCCCCTGCTGCCACACTCCTCGGTTTGCCGTGCCTCCGTTTCCCTGCCCGCCCTCCCCTCCCTACCTCGCAGGGGTGTTGGGAATCACCGTTTGTGAAGCACTTTGAAGCCCTCTGGGGGAAGGCACTGGAGACGTGCATGTGCTGGTTGGAGCCCGGGGATTTGTCCCTCCCAAAATCCCGGTGCTGTCCCCACCCCGCAATGCAGGACTCGTGCCCATCGCCTGGGAAACTTTTTGCTCTTCCTTCCTCGACAGTATAACCACCCTCAAACCGAAATGTATATTTTTGCTAGAAGTACAAACCTCCAAGTGTTTTTAATAATATAAATAGTGTCCACAAACTGACTTGACTTTAAATAAATCTGAACTAAATATTTAAGAACCTTTTAGCATCCAGCCTGTCTTTGTGGGCTTTCTCTCAGCACCTGGGTGCAGCTGTCCGTGGGAGAATTTCCAGCAGAGGTGATGGGATTTGCTGTGATTTCCAGGGATCTGCTGTGATTCCTGGGGCTCTGCAATTCCCAGATCTCATACCTGCTGCGGTTTTCTTGCCTGCAAACCTAAAGCAGCAGAAAGAGCCACTCGTGAGCAGGATCCCAGCCTCAGCTGGAGGTTTGTGCCCCAAATGCTGGGGGTGGAGCTGGAAATGAGCTGAAAACACCGCGAGGAGGGGAACAATGAGCTCCGGGGTGTCCTTGGATGTGATAAAACACCTGAGAATTTGCCAGGAGGAGCTGGAGACCCCCCAGACTCCCCCGTGCCCCGCTTGAGTGCTCTGGGGGAAGCTGTTCCACTGCTCCCCGCCTCTCCCATGCGGCTGGGGGCACCTCGAGCCGCGGTGCTGCTGGGCAGGGGTCCCAGGGGCCCTGGCTGGGGACCCTCCCTATGTGGTTACCCCAACAGGCAGCATCACCTTATCCAGCCCTTCCCAGTGTGATGGGGAGAGAGCTGAGAAAGAAGTGAAATCCACAGGCTGAGTTAAAGACAGGACTGGAAAGGAAGGGGAATTGTAATGCTAAAAGAATTAGAATACACGGAATTTGGTGCTGCAGGCGGGAGTGGTGCCCCCCTGCAGGCTCCTCGCTGCAGAGTCCTTGAGTGAGTGTAAACAGCGCTCGGCAGCGGCTGCTATCAGCTAGCCCGGGCATGTCCTCCGCCCCAAACACGTGTCCCCGGCCGGTGGGGGAGAACGATCCCAGCCGGACCCATAAATAGCGCTGGGAGGGGGCCCAGCCCCCATCACTGCTGGGGAGAGATGGAGGTGGGCTCCACGATGGCATCTGGGCCGCTAAGGACCGAGGCGAGCTCTCTGAGACCCCCGTGCAGGTAAGGGCTTGAGGATGGGGAGACAGGCTGGAGATGGGCCCTCGCTGTGGGGGTAGGGGGTGGGTTGGGATGGCCTTGATCCCCCTCCCCATTTCCCCATCCCCTCCGGAGCTGGGGGTGGGCGGCAGCTCTCCAGCCATGCCCCCCTTCCTGCCAGCCCCCAGCCAAGGGCTGCCCCCTTCTCCCTGCCCCAGCCCCCAGGAGAGCCCCCTGTCCTGGGCTTGCTTTGATCGGTAATTAGAAGGAGATTGGGCTGGATGGGGGTGGGAGGACCCCTGGCTCTGCCCTTGGCGAGGGCCCCCAGACACCAGCCGGGGGGAGGGGGCTTCCAAAATATGTCCCCCCTCAAACAAAGCTGGTACCGGGGGGCCTCTAGGGCAGGGCTGGAGCAGGGTCTGGGCCCATCCACACTCCTCCCCTGGCTAACAGGAATTTTGCCCGCGGATCCTGCCGGTGGGGCCAGAGCTGCCGCTTCTCACACGACCGAGAATCAGCCCGGGTCTGCAGGTACTTCCAGCGCGGGTTCTGCCTTTACGGAGAGCTGTGCAGGTAAGGAAGGGCTGCGATGCCATGAGGGTGGGCTGGGAGCCTGGAGGAGCCATGCTGAACTGATGGGACCCTCTGTCTGTCCCTGGGCTCCTCCAGCTACCAGCATATCCAGGAAGAGTCAGTACCGGTATGGGCCCAATACGGACTGATGCCTCACTGCCACTGTGGCCACGAGCCTGGCACTGAGCCCACAGCCACGGACCACGACCACAGGGGAGCCCAGTGCACCACGGCCTGCACCATGACATGTGTGGCCTTCAGGTTCCCCAAAGTGGAGGTAGAAGTGGAAGAGAGAGATAAGAAGAAGATTCCAGCAGCTGGTAACATCCCCCGTGGGGCCATCAGTGGAGAATTTGTCCCCACAAAAGCTCGGGGTGCCTCAGGTAGGTGCTAGGCTGCCCGGGGGGCCAGTGGGGTGAGATTGGGGTGGTCATGGTGAAGTAGCCTGTGCATGTTTCTGCCCATGACCAAGTCTGGGCCAGGCTGGGCTGTGGAGAGCTCTGCAGTGTCAGGACTGTTACTTGTCACTGCTGAAGCTGCACTCAGAGGAGCCCACCCTGCTCGCTGAGCTTTTCCCCTCTAAGAACTCCCCTCCTGCAGGCTTCCAGCCACAAGGGCCAGCACTGGAGCCAGACTCCTCTGGCCCCAAAAAGGCAGTTTTGGACACAGCGACACAGACTGACCCTGCAAAGGTGGGTTTGGGGTCTCCTGTGGCCCGATACTCCCTGTCACCCTGTGGTGCTGCCCGAGGCCAGGGCAGTGACAGAGCCAGGGGGTTCCACGCTGTGCTGCTCTGCTTGCAGGTCCCTGCAGAGCCAGGTGCTGCAGCAGCCCCGGTCACCACGGCAGCGCTGAGAGCCCGCAGTGAGGCTGTGGTGTGTGGCATCTGCATGGACAGGGTGTACGAGAAGGCGCTGCCCGAGGAGCGGCTCTTCGCGATCCTGCCCAACTGCAGCCACGCCTACTGCCTGGGCTGCATCCGCAGGTGGCGCCGCAGCCGCGCCTTCCAGAGCACCGTCATAAAGTGAGTGGCCTTGGGGACATGGCAGGGTGGTCACCGTTCCCCGTTCTGTGCCCTGAAATTCTTGCTTGGCTCCACTGATGTGGCTTTGGGATTGGAGTGACTTTGCTTTGGGAACAGGCGCTTCGGGGTGGTGATGGGTATGGGGGTGCTGGGTGAGGCCGGGGTGGGTGCTGAGCCCATGCTCCCCTCTTGGGACACCCAACTGCACCCATCACCCTCATCCAGGGCCTGCCCAGAGTGCCGGATCCCTTCCAACTACTACATCCCCCACAAATACTGGATCTCAGATGTGGCTGAGAAGGAGAAGCTCATCAGCACCTTCAAGGCACGGACAGGGTGAGTGCGTGGCAGGGCTGCGGGCTCCGTGCTGCTCCGGGAGCTACACTCACAACGATGCTTGGCATCCCACAGGAAAATCAGGTGCAAGTTCTTCCTGCGTGGCTACTGCCCCTTCAGATCAGAGTGCATCTACCTGCACGAGCTGCCTGCCAGCTGGCTGCGGCGGCACAGGCAGCGCCAGCTGAGGATGCCCATGGTAGGTGGGGTGGCACATCCCGGGGCTGGGCTGGGCACTGGGACTGTGCCTCATCCTCCCTCCCCTCCTGCAGGTGTTCCTCCCTTCTTCCTCGGAGAGCTCTGACGAGGAGGATGAGGAGCTCTGCACCCTCGAGTGGGCTCTCACCCTGGCCATGCTGGAGCCAGAATTTCCCCACTCGATTTATGGCCACGAGATGCTTCTCATCGACTTCAGCGATTCCGACTGAGCCGTGGGGACCACGCCGGGCCTGGGGGCTGCTTTGACTCATGCCATTGTTTTGGGGTGGCTCCAGCTGTCCTGCCATTGTTTTGGGGTGGCTCCAGCCGCGGGGGTGCTGCGGGGATGGGGTGGGATGGGGAAGAGTCTGTCTGGCATTGATGGGTGCACCGGGGGACACTCAGGGCACAGCCCCCCTGCCCTTGCCCTGGTTGGTGCCCACTCTGCGCCCGTGGCAGACCCACGGGTGGGGTGGGCTTGGGTGCTGGCAGGCAGCGGGGGGGCCTGACATCCACGGGGGGGGGGCACTGTTTTAAACTCTTTTTAGCCAAATCCGGGAATAGCGAAATAAAACCTCGGGCTGTGTAACGCTACGTTTCTGGGTGCCTGTGATCTGTGGGCTGCGGGATCCACCCTCGGGGGAGGTGGGGGGAAGGAAGGCGGTGTTTGGGTTGGAATTTCAGGGATATTTGCATCATGAGCTCGTTTGCGCGCGGTCCGGTTGCATTTCCCGGGGCGGGGCCGGAAGCGGCGCCTTGGGGCCGGGGACAGCGGGCGGAGCGCGGCGGGAACGGGGGAGCAGCGGCGGGGACAGCTCTGAGTGAGTGTGCGGGGACAGCCCCGAGTGTGCGGGAACGGGGGAACAGCGGCGGGTGAGTGTGCGGGGACAGCCCCGAGTGTGCCCGGCACTGACCGGGGCGGTGCTCGGGGCCGGGGGCAGCCGCACCGGCAGCGCCCCCGGGAGGGATCGGCGTTGGGCTGGGGGTGCGGGGCTGCCCGCCAAGGGGTGATGGAGAGCACGGAGGGGACTCCCGGTGCTCTCCCGCATCCTCGGCTGGGGAGAGGTAAAGGCAGCTGCCCAGGTTGATGCCGGGATGGGCGCCGAGCATGGACAGGCACGTCCTGATCGTCCCGTGCCTCCCGAGCGGGAGCCGTGTCCGGTCAAGCTAGGGTCAGCTATGTGATAAGAATGTGCTTGGTGTGCCATTGGGAGTTAGATGTTTTCTTCTAGGTATAGGCTCAGTAGGAGTACGAAAACACAGGCCTGGATTATCGCTACCGCTACTTGTAGAATAGTTAGTAAGAAGACAATTAGTAAGGTTAGGAGTGACACTGCTGATATTGTGGAGAACAAGGCTGTCGGAACTGTAGAGATGAGCTGGGTGAGGAGGTTGTTGTTGTTGTGAGCTTGGCTGTTGGGCGCGCACCCAGTGCTAATGGGCGAATTATGAGGTTCGTTGTTTCCATTAGGATAAGGGCGGGGATTAAGGGGGTGGGGGTGCCTTCTGGGAGGAGGGGTGACCCGTGTGTGGCTGTTCCCTTTGTTTGTCCCCCGTGTCCGGCGGTGTCCCCGTGTCCGATGTCCCCGTGTGTGTGACCGTGCCCGGTGTCCCCGTGTCCCGCAGGCGCTGTGCAGCCCCGGCCGCAGCGATGGAGCCTCGGTGCCCGGCCTGGCTGCAGCGCTGTCCCCGGCCGTGCCGCCTCCTGCTGCTCTCGCTGTGCTCCGGCCCCTCGGGGGCCGTGGCCGCGCTGCGGGCGCTGCAGCGGGGCCGGCCCCGGCACGGAGCGGGGCTGGCGTTCCCCTGGCCGGCTCTCACCGCGGCCCTGTGCGCCGAGGAGCCCTCGCTGGAGGGGCCAGAGGACGCCCTGGCCGTGTGAGTTGGATGCATTTCTGAAATTAGGTGTTTTGCGGGAGTTTTGGGT